TGGATTGCTTACAGCCATCTGTATTGGTTTCCCAGTCCAGGTGGTTGAAATCTAAAATCCCCCATTAGGATGAGAGCTTGGGAGTGTGATGCTTCTTGTAGCTGAAATAAGAAGGCCTGGTCGAAGGATCTCCCAATTGGTTGGCCTCTAGTAGACCCCCATCACCAAGTGTCCTTCTTTGGTCTGGTTCTTGATTTTTTACCCACAGACTCTCAGCCTTTTTATGCCAATCTTTGGCTTACCAACAGGTCTGCAGTAGGTATCTTCTTCCTACATTGATTCTAGTTTAAAGTTCTCCTGATTAGTCCCACCAGCTTAAGCCCACAGACTTATTTGTCCCATCCAGGACAGGTGGATCCCATCAGGCCCCAGCATATATTTTCTTCAATGGTTTAAAACCCCAAAGTTTTGGTACAGGCACCAGTCCTAAAGCCAGGTATTTATATCCTGGGCTTGCCTGATTCTTCCAAAATCTCCTTCCATTACTGGAATACTGGAAGGATTGAGGAAAACACTACCTGTGCTCCTGAAAATTTTAGGATTCTTCCCTGGGCTCTAAACTCTCTTTTGATTGACCTTTTTTAATTTTTTTTTTTTTTTGGTGACAATTTGTATATTGTTGAAAGAGCAGGAATGGGTAATAGTCTAAAAGTTGAATTAGGCACGTCAGTCTTGTGGCAATATTCCTAATTCAGGCCTGGGGAGGAAGCAAGCTTCCCTGGAAAGAGGGTCTGGTCTGAGAACAGGTGCTTCTGCTCCACACAGGAGGGAATCAATGACCATAACTCAATGATGTTTCTTCTTGGTGCTGGTCTTAATGCAGGTTTTGTTGCCAGGGCTTGGCCTCTCTGACCTTGACAAAACTGCTTGCACAGGTTCCTCCTCTTTCTCATTATGAGCTTCATTTACTATACCCATGGCTTTGTACCTGTTCTGTAAGGGTATGTGAGAGAGTAACTTAGAGGGTAAGGAGGTTACTTTCTCTTACTGCTCCGTGCTGCAACCTTCTTCTCCCTTTTCTTAACCCTTGTGATACTGCCTTCCCGCTGGCAGAAAGCAGATCCTGGACCTGCCTCCATAGTGACCATGTTGAGTTAGCTTCTATACATCATAGATGTCAGAATACAGCTCCATTGATGGAACGTCAATCTCCCTCTTAGACTCTCAAATACTCCTCAGTCTGCTGCTCACCTCCTGAAGCTCAGACACCAAGCAGAGCAGTTCATCAATCTGGTCACAGCTCCCACAGTCTTGCTTGCAATCACTTTCCATCTCTAGGAATATCCCTTCAGACATCCCACAGCCAGAAATCTGGGTAGTTGCATCCTTGAATAGGAGCTCTGTCTGTATGACTCCATTGGTTTTCCCAGACGCTAGAAGCTCAGGAAAAGCAGAGGACACTGCTTTTTGCCAGGTGGCCATCATGCTGGTGCTGCTGCTGTGTACCTGCCTACTAGAAATATATATGCTTGTTTGTTGCAGTCAGCTGGACTGATTTTTGCCTGTTTAAATCTCCTGTGCTGCCTGGTGCAGGCTCTGCCCCTTGCTCTTTCAGTGGGTCTGGGGTCAGTTGCTTGAGTAACACCCTCTGTTCAATTGTCCACATGTATCTCTCATGGATTTTTAAAAATTATATGAGTAACACCCTAATCCAAAGGTGTGTTTACTTAGAGACTTTCAAAGGAAAATATTGTGGTTTCCTCAATGCTTTCTAGATGCACAGAACATTCACAAAATGGTTGGATGAACTTTTTAAAAGTCAACATTGAATGTTAATTTATAGTTCCATAAGCAAGCATATATCAGTCCTCTTTTCGCTATGAATCATGCACCCTTAATGTTTATGATGATGCTGTAATTTAACCCTATATGTAATATGCAAGAATAACTGTCAAATAAGCTTAAACCATATATCTAAAATAGTGACGAGAACATTGAATTAATATATACTGTAGCACAAATATTTTTACCTTGTGAAAAAGCAGAAAGTAAAGTTTAAGAAGGAATATCTAGAAACTTCAATGATTAGTTTTGATTTGTATATTTAAATTTGCCTTTCCAAACTCTGGATTCTCAGAGGACAGATTTCAAAGTCATTACAAGGCAGGCTGAGGGCAAGCAGCTACTGGAGAATTAAACATGAATGAGATACTTCTCTACTGAGAGAGCTCTGAGAAAGAAGCTATATATTGGTATATTCAGCTGTTTTGAGATTTAAATGCATATAGGAAATAGCATAATGTGCATATTCAATACTTTTTTAAAATAAAAAAGCTAAAAAAATACTAAAAAAAAAAAAAAACTCAGCAATAATATCTACACTACAATCACAGAATTGTTAGGTTTGGAAGGGACCTCTGGAGGTCATCTAGTCCAAACCTGCCAAGGCAGGGTCACCTAGAGCAGGTTACACAGGAACACATCTGGGTGGGTTTTGAATGTCTCCAGAGAGTGAGACTCCATGGCCTCCTTGGGCAGTCTGTTCCAGTGCTCTGTCACCCTCAATGGAAAGAGGTTCTTCCTCATGTTGAGGTGGAACTCCTTGTGCTTTAGTTTATGGTGATCATGTCTTGTCCTGTAGCTGGGCACCACTGAACAATCTGGCACCATCCTCTTGGCATCTGCCTTTGAGATATTTATATGCATTAATGAGATACCCTCTCAGTTTTCTCCAGACTAACCAGGGCCAGCTCCAGCAGTATCTCCTCATAAGAGAGTTGCTCCAGACCTCTAATCATCTTTGGAGTCTCTGCTGGACCCTCTTCAGTAGCTCCTTGTCTTTTTTGTTCTGAGGAGTCCAGAACCAAACACAGCACTCCAGATGTGGCCTCACTAGGGCTGAGTAGAGGAGCAGGATCACCTCCTTTGACCTGCTGGCCACACTCTTCCTGATGAACCCCAGAATCCCATTGGCTCTTCTGTCTCCAGGGCATACTGCCGGCTCATGGCCAACTTGTCATCCACCATGACTCCCAGGTCGTTCTCTGCAGAGCTGTTCTCTATTAGGTTAGCTGTTGGAACTCAAAATGTTCCTCAGACATTTTTGGAGGTTCCAGGCCTTGGTCAGAAGCATTTTAGACCCTGGCAGGCAGCCGGAAACAGCTGTGTTTTTGAGTTTGAGCCATGGAATGAGTTACCAACTTTGAAGGTGGAACAAGCAGTCACAAAGGGTTAGATAGTATAGTAGAAGTAGTTACAAAGTAGAGAGGAAAATGTTTTAGTATTGTACAGTGTTGCATTGCGGTACCCTTTCACCGCAACACCCCGAGGGCGGGCGTGCTGAGCGGCGAGGGAAGAGGAGGGGGCGGCCGGTCCCCCTGTGAAGCTCTGCAGTCCCAGTTATCGGTGCGGGGACAGATGGAGGCGGCACGGGACTTGGGGTGAACAGGTTCCGTTTATTTTGCGTGGCCCAAGACCCCTTGGGGGGGGCAGGCAGATGTTTTATACAAGGACTTATGAGGAGGGATATAGGAACAGCAACCAATAGGGGAATAACAGGGGAGGAGTTTGGGGTAGGACTAGCATATCATAAACTTATCAGGGAAGACAAGGGAGTGGAGTAACACAAGGTAACCAATAGGGTGTTGAGCCTCACTAAATAGACAGGGACTGTTCTGGGAAGAGGGGGCAGGGAAAGGGCGCAGGGGGAGGGAAGATTTACATCTTGGAGAGAAGGGGGTTAGGAGTGAGATGGGAGGGGGGGGTGTGTACAGACACTGAAAGAATAAAGAACACACTCCCGCAGTACAGGGGGGTTTTAGCACCTGTACAGAGGGGTTTTTACTTTGTACATGGGGGTCAGAAGTTCTAAGATGGAGGAAAGTGGGCTGATCCTGTTCTTCCTCCTTCTTCTTCCTTACCTCCATGTTCTTGGTGATGCTGGCACTTATGGATTGGTTTAGAGTAGAAAAGCACCTTGTAACATAGGTAGTAGGTATTGGGGAAAAACTGTAAACATGTAACACATAATATATCATATAAAAGATAGCAGCAGCCCTGGGCGGGGAGAGAGAAGAAGAAGACACCAGACAGTGAGGGTGTCGGGAGTGTGTGTGTCTCTGCCTGGGCTGTTGACCAAACAGCCACAGCCCGCGAAGACAATCTTTTAGATAACTAGCAATAAACTGCCTTGAGACCGAACAACAAGAGGCTGTGGAGTCTTTCTTTGGAAGCACGGGTTGGAGGAGAGACTTTACCACCACACGGGACCCCTGAACCAGGCCAGGGGTTCCCACAGTTAGCCCCCAAACTGTACTGGCACTTGGGGTTATTTCTCCCCAGGTGCAGGACCCTATAATTCCCCTTGCTGAACCTAATTAGGTTTCTCTCCAGCCTATCAAGAATCAAGAATCACTACAGTTTTAATAAAAACAGTAGCCTTGTAGGCTTAAAACAGGTATATGAAGAAATAAGCATCCAATGTTTTAAATGCAAAGATTTGCTATGAAAGTATTTCCTGAATTATAACACTCATGTTATAAATATGATGTGATAGAAATTACTCACGGAAGAAAACCAGTAATTTATAGGACTCCTTCCGAGCCCTTGCCACTAGTCTTCCACATTCAGTACAGCCTACCACGCTTGCTGCATTAACAACCCATGATGTAATTACAAAACAACATTTTCCCTAAACTCTCACTATTATTTTTCTTTTTCACCATGGTACTTTCTGGTAGAACATATTGAGGGAAGGAGGGGTGGGTGCATGTTGTTTTGTTGCACCTTTTGAATTGAAAGTTTATTTAGGAGCAATCCTTTTTATCAGATACCTGTCTAATAGTCTGATAATTTGCTGTGTGCCAAAACATTTAACCCAAAAGAATAAAACATATTTCATATGCTAGAACCAAAGACAGAACAAGCATTTTATCAGGAAACAGGAATTTGCTATGATTTTCAGCCTGCTATTTGGAGGGAAAATGTTCCCAAGTAGTGAAATAAAATACAAGTTTTTAACTACTGCAAACAGCTTTAATATAAATAAAATTATTACTTACCAAAATCTACTCTTGTTAATATGCACTGCATTGGATGGTCAGTTGTATGCCTTGTTGTTGTTGCACCACTTTCATAACAAGTTGCACACAAATCGTAATCGTAGCAAATTAAACACTTGTATCTGCGACCTCGAAAATTTCCTTTTAAACATGCATCACAGCTGACACCTGTGAGCAAAGAAAATTGCTTGAAAACAACAATAATTTCACATTGGTTTAATGATACCAATTTGTTGCTATAGCCCCCAACAACGAAAGGAATTCAACCAAGAAGCTTTTATGAAGCTGATGTACAATAAGACTCAATTTTAAGCATATTTTTATATTTAAAAAGGCAGTAATCATCCAAAGTGAAAGTTAAAGTAAAATAAAATCCAGTCAAGCACTCAAAATGATAATTTGTTAGGCTATAAATTTTTTTTAATCACTTTTTCTACTGTTCGAAAGCTTGGTGCAAAACATTCTCACGGTTAAATAGTATAGTTTGTGAAAACAACAAAGCAAAGTTCACAGCAGACCATCCCACAAGTCGCACAAAACCACACACCATCACCAAAACATAACACCAGCCCTCCCTGGCTTTTGTGTTTATTTTTATAGTTTCTAATAATTAAATTCCGAAGAATACCAGAACCATTTTTCACAACATAAACATATCCAAGAGCAGAAATTTAGGTCTTCTATTTTGAAGTAGAGAATAACTTTGAATACATCTTAATTTTATGTTGCATCATCTCTTCAGCTTCTTCCTTTTGAAAGTTCAAACTCTATACTGTAAAGCAATCAGTCACACTGCCTGGGTCAGGAAAAGCCTTCATTATCTTCTAAAGGTTTTTGCAATTTTCTCTGTATCATTTCGCTTCTCTGCTGTTAATTTAGATAAGGGCATCATCATATTTTCATCTGTCAAGGCCCACAAAAACTTCCATCACTGCAGTAGTAAATGAAAGGCCTTTATGATAATATCTAGTGTGTACAACACATGCGATATTTTGATTGAAGTCCTCCTTTAGGATCAATTTAAACAAATTTTTCATAGTTCAGTGCAAATGAAGAAAATTTTATAGAAACAATGTTATTGAAAGAAAGCACTGACATTGACTCCGAGAAGATTAGTAGAGGAAGATCATCACGATCTCAAAACTACAAATATCCCAATGGTCATTTCCTAAACTCTATTATCAGATAAAAAGCTAGTATTAACACAATTCACCACTACTGTCTGTGATGTCAGGTCCAGCAAGCAAAGTTAAATTACATAGAGAGAAGTCTCACAACATCTCTCCAAGCTAGTATTTCTTCATATCATTCTAAAATACCATGTTTTCATTTTGATAACCTGACAGCAAGTGTTACATTGTGCTCATGGGCATTCTGTTCCCCCTTCCCCGGGACCCCTGTGACTCTGATCAAGATAACTCCGGACTCCTCCTTCCTGCCCTGACAGGGTTGGCGGAGAGCCAGAGGAGCCCTCCCTGCTCAAAGTCTAGATAAACCCCTGACATTTCCTGCTCGTCCTCTTTTGCCCCGCTCTCCCCATGGACATCACAGAATAAAGAGAGATGCACCAACATATATTGGGGTAAGAGCCTCTTTTGGAAATCTTTGCTATCTCCTGATATTCCTCCCCTCAAAGCCTGGGATCTCTGGGCTAGCCTGATAATTTAGGGGGCTGAGAGGGGGGGGAAACATCAACCAAGTGGCATAACACACTACTTTCATATCCTTTTCTGTAACAGGAGAGAAAAGCATCAAGAAAAAAAAAAGCCTCAGCTGTTTTTTTTTAAAATCCATATACTGCATTAATTAAAATTAATTAAAATTTTAGAAGTTTGCCCCTCTACGCCTTAAAAACAAACAAACAAACAAACAAACAAAACCCAGAACACTGAAAGATAACAGAATGCCAAAGTGAATTGAATGCATCCTAATTAATCTCAGGTTTTGAGGATAAACACACACTTAGGAGGGGTTCAATTATAAGCAGGGAACAAAAAGAGCAAACCAATAAACAAATTGGGAAAATAATTCAGCGTCTTCATGAAGTTCTGATTTGCATGATGTGACAATGACTTTTTAAAATATTTTAAAATTATTTCCTATACAGTGGAAACAGTTTTCCTACACCTTCTTCAGAATGGCCTCATGGAAATGATCAGAAAATAAAAACAACCTGGATTATTTTTAAATAAAGTTTTTGATGCATTTTACATTAGAAAATAACAAGGAGACTTTTTCAGGTTTTCTACTGTTAATTGCCAATACACAAGTATATATGTGGACTGATAAACAGACCCAAATAATGACATTTATACCAATGTACCCTCTCTTCACTATCAGGATAAATATGGCTACCAGGTTTCATTATAAAACTTGCTGCTTCTTGTCCTGGGTAACCAAAAATGTTATTATAGTCCATATCTATCTGTGCCCAAAACTTGTTACTGTCTCTTTAAGACCCTGTGGCCAGAAAGAGAATCGCGGAGCAGGCAGGGGGTTCCTTTTTTAAAGCCGGGTTGCCCAAGAAGAGCTTTATTTTTTTACCCCATGGCATTTGCTCAACGCAGAGGCATTATTTTGGGTTTGGTGGGGGGTATTTTGTTTTGGTTTTTTTTGTTTTGTTTTGTTTTGTTTTTTGTTTGGTGTTTTGGGTTTTTTTTGGGTTTTTGGGTTTTTTTTGAGAGGATGTGTTTCCTGGTCTTGGACTGCCTAGGGGCAAATTCTGAGACTGCCTGTCTGCACTCTGGGCCGAGTGGAGCGGAGCAGCTCTGCTCCAGTCTGAGTCACCCCAGCCTGCCAGCCAACTGCCCTACTTGAGAGCAGGGCAAAGTCCCTCCACGAGTTCTAGCCCTTAACTGAGTGCCAGCCATCTGAGTGCAACAACGGCATTTGCTGATGGAGTTGCCTCCACTGGAGAGATGGCAAGGGGGGAAGGGGGGCTGGCGCCATTTTCCCCTTTGTCTCTTGAGCCATGCGCTCGGCTGCAAAAGACCACATCTTGGAGGGGCGGGGGTGGTCATTCCTGCAATTTAAGTTTCTCTTTTGATGCCTGTATAACATAGGTCAAAGTAACAAGGTGCTTATACAGCTTGAGTTATAAGATATCCTGATATCAATATAACCTGAATCACAACATTCTATACTTATATAATCTGAATCATAACTTTTTATACATATTGTTATAAATAACAAATATAGTTATTGTTATGAACAAAACAGCCTGGCTGGGACACTTGGCTTGGGCTAAGTACTGACATTAAAATCTTAATTAGCTAATTGTTCCTGGGAATCACCTACCTCCCCCCACCCTCACTACCATTCTAGGACTGGGATGCAAAATAATCCAGTGGAATCATGGAAGAGGGTTTTGGGGATGAAAAACACCCCTAAATGGAAAAGATGGGCACAGTGGAGGGGGCTGGATGGGTGTGCTGGTTGGGGAAAAGGGAACCCCATCCCTAGTCTGTGTTTGACCTGTCACCATAACCTGCAGAGGACCAGACTGGACTGGGCTGTGGGAAGCAGGAGCAAAGCAGAGACACTTCCTGGTGTTACCAGGAGGGAAGGAGAGGGACAGCTGCTGCTGGACTTCGGCAGCAGGCTCTGCACATCCCCTCATTCTTTGGCTACCAGTGTGCCGGGAGGGAAGGAGAGAGGATGGTCTGCTGGGACTTCAGATACGGACTGCACACCTCTTCACCTCCAGCTATCAGCGTGCCACAGAGACTCCAGGGACAGACTCTGCATGCCTGCTCACCCTTCGGCTACCGGAGAAGCTACAAGAGCGGGGGCGAGCTCCTTGTTGAGCCCCCTGCCGAGCTGACTTTTTAATAAAGAGCTGACTATTAATAAAGGCATAGACCCTGTTCATTTCAGTTATTGGCTTTCGCATTTATATATTAGGTTTTGTTTTGCAAGTTATTATTGATCACAAAAATACTGATATAGTACAATTTGTAATTACTGTTTTTGATATAGAATAATCTGTCAGTTTATGTATACACCGTGTGAAAGACAATAGGATAGTTTTTGTTCATCAGGAAAAGACCCAGGGATTGTGTAAGACGCAGGAAACAGTGGGGCAGGAAGGCAGGATATACTGGTATCAGTAGATTGTGGAATTGAGATATCTTTGCAAGCTGCATAACCATATTTGGGTAAGTTATTGCAGGGTTAATGCTACCTTGGAGGAAGAAGAATAGGAGCTTTCCTCAAACGACCACCGGACAGCAGAAAAAAGACCCCTAGCAACACGCTGCGCAGATGCAGAGCACATCGAGAATGTCACAAAGTCCGGAACTGTAGGGGTATAAGAACTGAAAGACCGGGAGGTGCGGGGTGAGCCGCTGGAGGAGCAGAGACACCCCTCCCCCCCCCCCCCCCCCCGGCTTCACCCAGCGCTGTTTTGCTTGCTAACGCTTGCTGTAATTAATAAATTCTCAATTGACCTATTAAGGCTGAATCGAATTACTCCCAAACCTTATAACAAAATTTGGTGCCGTGACTCGGATCGTAACACCCGGAGGAGGGAGCCTTTCTAGGGTGGCGCCCCACTGCTTTGACAGTGGCCCTGCGGGGACGCTCCTCCCCAGACTCCGACCGACGAACCCAAATTCGATAGCAAGCAAAAGAAGGCTGGTAACCCCTTAATCTTTGTGCACGAAGTTCCGGGTGAAGACACAGGACGGTGTAAGTATAAACTCCGGCAGCTTCTGTGAACCGCCGGAGTTGCCTCATCCATTGAGGGGTGAGGACAGCTCGGTCGGGGTTGGGTATCCCAGAGTGCGGTGTGTGAGACGTCCTGGTGGGACGACACAAGTGCAGACCTCTTAGTAGTGCGTTTTCCATACCCCGCGAGGGGCTGGGCCACGAATAGGGGGAACGACAGTGTGTGTGTGTGTGTGTGTGTGTGTGTGTGTGTGTAGGCACTCTGGAAGATGGGACAGGGGAAAAGCAAGCCCTCTGATCCCATGGGAGAGGGCACCCGTGTAAAACTTCCCCAGATACCTCCAGATAGTCCATTAGGACTGATGATAAAATACTGGAATGATTTTCCCTCAAGAAAAGGGAAAGATCGAGCAAAAATGGTCCACTATTGCATGGAAGTTTGGGGAGGAAAACAAATTAGGAAAGACCACCTTTACTGGCCAGTATTCAGATCGTTTGAG